AAATGTATTTACAGACAAAATACTGAAATAAAAACACCAGGATCAAGTAGAGTGGGTTAACACAAACATTTTAAGACAAAAATTACGAGGCTCACTGCAGCAGTTACGGAGAGAGGGGTGACAATTTTTCAATTTAACATCAATTGGAGCCAGACTCAATGGAGACGGAAGCGCCACCATGCTCACTTCCTATTTGTAACACGTCTAAACATGGCCATGAACACTCATATTGATCACAGGCTTCTGAAAATGTGCTTTTTAAAATCAATTTTGTATTTTTCTTGAATTTTCAGCTGCTCTTAAAACTTTTCTAGCTGTGTTTGTGAGCATTTTGTCACCATGGTAACAAATTAATATTAAGTCTGTACCAAAAATAGGCCTATAACTTGATACCCTTGTTTGGAAGGTAGACACAAGACCAGAGGGGACCAAACTTTTTTCACCAAGGGATGCACAAACATTCAGACAGAGGCATTTTACCACCGTGCCGTTTTGTTAAGTTAAATTAAAGTGATAGAAATACTTGAATGTGTAGTATTTTCTTTTTTTTTTTTTTTTGGTAATTTTCTGTTGTTTATTGATTTACTTGACATTATAATTACACATCTCCAAAACAACAATTGCCATACTATCCCTTTCACGATATCTCTTCCATCTAATCCCTACATTCTTTATAATAATATACAGTATTGTCCTTCTCTTCTCCTTGTGTTCCTGACCCCTCATCCCTCCCTCTCTCTCATCCCTCCATCTTTGCCCTGTGTGGTGGTGGATCTGGTGCTGGGTGATTGTCTGTGCCTCCCGCTGCTCTGGCGCCTGTCGAAAAATCCCCTCCACCAAACCGACCAGTGATGCCCTCTCCTCCTCTCCATTCAGGAAAATAGTATTCAGTGTTCAGTTCCCATACAGATTCCAATACTATAGCTTCAAGTCTCTGCTGGTATCTGATATCAACCAATACCAATGTAGAAACAGCATTTATTTCCTTTAAACTAAAATAAAATAAGACAAAACTGATCCAAGTATGTTATTATTTACTTCTCAAGTACATTCACTTTTTAGGGGAAAAATTTCAAGATGTACCATACAAGCTTTTTCAGTTCTGATACTAATTCCAATACTATAGCTTCAAGTATCTGCCATTACTCAATATCAACCAATACCAGTGTAGAAAACTGCTTTTATTTCCTTTAAATAAAAATAAAATAAGACAAAACTGATGTGTTATGAAATAGTCTTATTAAATCCATTTATATTTCCAACCAGGATAGCAGTGTGTATCAGTGTAACTTGGCCTGGTGACATCACATCACCTGCTTGTCTCCATGGAGATAGATAAGTTTAATGCCATATTGTGGAAGATTTCGAATCTTTGTTAACTGTACTTGAAGGTGTGTGTAACTGCACTTGACGATATACACGTTACCTCATGTTCCAGGCTTAAATGGTCATGATTACATTCTAAATGATGATGATATTTTGAACAAAGTAGGCCTAACATTACATGTGTCTATCACTACTGTTTTTTTCACTTTCACTCATGTCTCAATCTAAACTGTGGAATCTAGACAGCCCCTCTGGAGCAGCACCTGCCGGCTTTGCTTTTGTCCTGGTTCGGCCCCAAACTCAGGCTCCTCATTACCCAACACAAACCCACACAAAGTCATTAAATACAGATCTATAAGGACTAGACGGCAACAACGCTCCACTGTGCACGGACTGAGCCAGTGTTACAGAGAGATCAAGGTTTGGATATATCAATCAGAGAACTTTATTTATCCCCAATGAACAAATAAGAGCAGATGTAAAGTTAATACCATTTATTATTACACTGTATTATAACACTGTATTATGGACTTGTGTTTACACTATATTGATAAAATAAAAAATGATGATTAAAAATTATTCTATTGAGATAAAAATCCTTAAAAAAAAAAAAAACATGCATTCTCACTTCTACACAGATCTGACCTGGTGGCATTATTTGATTGTCTCTATAGAGTTAGATACATTTAATGCCACACTGTGAAACATTCCAGGCAAAACAATAACATCCCCATGGAGACAAAGAGGTAGAAGACCATCAGAAAAGTGACGTATTGCTCCTTTATGAAGCTGGAACTATGAAAGAATTTATTGGTATTAACCTCACATTAATATAGCCAGTTACCAGTGGTGAAATGTAACAAAGTAAAGGTAGTAAAGTTCTGTACTTAAGTACATTTTAAAGTGGATACTTTTTACTTTTACTTCACGATATCTGAGAGCAGGTATCTGTACTTTCTACTCCATAGAATTTTTTATCTGAACTGAAAAGTATTATTTACTGTTGTGTCAGACAGTTGTTTTTTTGTTTTGTTTTTGTTTGTTTGTTTTTTGTTTTTACATGTTTGTAGTTTGTGAAAACAAAATACATACATAAATAAAAACAGCCAGGAAAAACAACCAAACAATTGATTCAATTGTTTCTGCACAAATCTGTATCAAAATCATTACATTTGAAGCCTTAAAATACCTCAAAATCTGCACAAAATACTTTTACTTTTTACTTGCACATTTTTAAATGGGCACTTTACTTTACTAATACATTTATTTGAGCATGTCTTTGTTCTGGTATCTGTACTTTTACTTAAATAACAAAATTCAGTACTTCTACAACTGACAGTTACAATATTGAATGAAAAATGGGTTGTGAAAATGTTTTTGTTTTTTTTGGTTTTTTTTTTTGTAAAAATGATTTGTGACTTTACTTTACAAATGACCTCAAGTTTTGTACATTTCACAAGAGTTAGCCTATATATCACTTTACTACACTGAAGAGCATCTTTCTACTGTTAATACTTAAGAGTAAACTGTCCTCTTCTTCTTCTTCTGGCCTCCTTTATGTGTTTGTTGTTTTGGGGTCTTCCTCTCTTAGACGTTGCCCGGTGCCAAGAGCTGTAATCACAAGAGCACCAGTCACATGACGCAATGGATGCCCTGCAGAAATCTGGAAAAAGGAAAGAAAGAGAGAGAGGGGGAGAGGAGAGAGGAGAGAGAGAGAACTAGAGAGAGACCTAGAGATGGAGAGAGAGAAAGGGAGAGGGGGTGAAGGAGGGACCATATAGAGGGAGGAAGAGACTAAGAAAGAGAGACAGAAAGAGTGAGAGAGTGAGGGAGAGGGGAAGGAAGAGAAAGAAAGAGAGGGAAGGAGGGAAAGGGAACAGGGAAGACACCGAGAAAGAGAGACAGAGAGATTGAAAGAATGAGAGAGAGTGGGGGAGTGAGAGGGGGAGAAAAAGAGAGAAATAATAAAAAGAAAGAAATCAAGAAAGAAAGATTGGAGAAAAGGTGAGAGATGGAGGAAAGGGAGACAGAGAGAGAGAGAGAGAGAGAGAGAGACAGCAACAAAAATAAAGAAAGAAAGCGAGAGAAAAGGAGGGAGAGAGAGAAGAGAGGAGAAGAAACACAAGAAGTGGGGAGAAAGGTAGAGGACAGGAGGCTGAGAAAGAAGATATAAGAATATGGGTTAGAAGCAGCCAAGTCTTTTTTGGCACAACGCTGCTCTGTGGCTCTCACCGTGATGGAGAAAGTAATTAAGAGAAGCCTGTTCAAGAAGATAGGGCCATGAAAGAGATTTGAAGAGGGAACTGATTTTGTCTGATTTTTTCCACAGTTCAAACCTCAAAAGCTTAATTTTAAAGGACCAGTTTAAAGGACCACAGAGCACCTGCTGTTTTTCACTGACAAACAGTGACCTAATCAAAGCTGTACTCATATCACCTACAATTGAAAGGATGTTAACTCACAATATCACTGCAAATGTACTGAAGGTTATATTTATCATTAAAGGTCTTATATTACACAAAACTGACTCTTGTGAGCTTTAAGACATGTTAGAATGGTGTCACCTCGTCAAAAACAGACCCAGAGTTGTGTTTTGTTTCATTCACACATGTTTGAGTAATCCTTTATTATTAGTCTATCTATGTCTCTGTTCCACCTTGTGATGTCATGTAGCTGTAGTTTTCAAGTTAACAGCTACCATTTATCTTTAGTTCAGTAGAGACTGGCAATTTCAGGTCTGAAATTATCCAAATGATTCTAGTGAAGGTGTATGGAGTTAAAAAAAAAAAAAAAAAAAAAAAAAAACACACACACACACAATGGAGCACTTCCTGTATTACCACATGACATCACAAGGTGGAAACCAGTGTTTTCTGTTTGAAAGAAGAACTCTGCAGGATTTGCTTGTGTGATTGACAACAAAACAAAACTCCTAGCATGTTTCTGATGAGGAAACAATATTATATCATAGAGCAAAAAAATGCATAATATGGGCCTGTGTAATACAGTTATGGTCATTGTTTTCCATAGCTTTCATTCTGACTATGTGGTACAAATCATTTTTACATAGTTATTATTTTATCTCATCCAGTTTGTGGAAGTAAGCCTATAAATGTCAATTTAGGTATAGCCTCAGTTGTCTTGATTTCGTTATGTCTATAATCCAGGAGAATTTTAGTCTGGGGGGGGTATAACAGATTCCTGTGTTTATGGGCAAATGGGAAACACTCCTTGTTAATCAATACAGTGGGTTAGCTGAGTCTGATGCAAAAAAAAAAAAAAAAAAAAAAAAGTCTAACAGTAGAAAGGATGCCGGTGTAGAATAGGTGACCTTATTCAATCTGTGGGTGACATCTTGTGGTGAAATAGTGACATTGAAAAAACAGCTGAATTAAATTATGGCTCTGCGCCATCTAGTGATAGAAGACTAAACTACTGGACACTGTGACATTCACACTTTCCTTGTGGAATTATTGTATATTCCATGTTTAAAGTCACTCCTAATCCTTATTTTTTGGTTCCCGTGATTGACATAATAAAATATTGTAGAAACAAAGCTGAAAATAAACAAAAGTGCAGATGACAGCCGTGTCACACTTTACGCACTGTCGTAAAATGTACCTGCCTGCTGTTGCAATGGCGACAGTCGCGACAGTACTTTACGGCAGCGGGGAAATCGAGGAGAAAGCAGCGACTAACGCCACCGAGCACGTTATTGCCTCAACAACTGTAGGATTTTTACAATACTCGGTCAAATAACATTTATTTTATTCGTTCGTCTGTCGGCACTGTGGATGACACTACGTTTGCCGTGTTTCAAGCGCGAATCTCGCCCTTAATGCGGTGGGATGGCCACAGTGCCGCCTGGGCCTAGTAGCGCTGTGCCTTCGTCCCCGGCTCAAGCTGCTCCTTTCCCCGGGGCTGGGGACTCCGAGCTGGGCAGAGGAGACGGAGAACCGGCCTGCCATCTCTCGGACTGTGTGCCCGACACAGGAAACAGACCGCTGTCGGTCACCGACGTCAAGAAGACTGCGAAGAAAAAGCAGAAAAATATGCTAGCCCGAGCTAGCCCCGCACTGCACCTTCCAATGCAAAGCCGAGAGCAGCAGCTGAACGGCTTGGCCAGTCCCACAGAGCATGGCGACGACCCGCACACGGACAACCGGCCCGACAATCCCAGAACGATCGCGGACAACGGTGACAGCGGCAGCCCCGAGCCCTACACGGGCATCAGGAACAGTAGTGAGCACTGCCAACACGAAGGCCACAGCCCTTTATCCAAAAACGGCAGCCAGTCTCCGCTAGTTAACAATAGCATGAACGGGATACCGGCTTTTACTAGAACTGAGGAGTCCCCGAGCCAGCCCCTGGAGGAGCAGGCACAGGCGTCTGAACACCCGCAGTCCCCCGGTCCTCTGCGGGACTCTGCGGGGACAGCCGCAGAGGAGCCGCCCGCCGCAGAGCTGGCCCGCCTGCACCTCTCCTCTCCGGTACCGACCGAACCGGAGGACCACGGCATCCGCTATGTGCGCTACGAGTCTGAGCTACAGATGCCGTGGATCATGCGGCTCATCACCAAGGACTTATCCGAGCCTTACTCCATTTACACCTACAGGTACTTCATCCACAACTGGCCGCAGCTCTGCTTCCTGGTGAGTACATGACAGCTCTGTGGACATCTGTCCAATGATAATAAACATGTCCATGTATCAGTGTCGTAGAGCTCCCTGTCTTTTCTCTGCGCCTGTTAAAGCACTGGGTGTGACTCTTGAGATTCCTCCTTATGTGAATCCCTTCAGGCAGGTTTCGCCCACGTTTCATTAGATAAATCTGAAGGTTGTTGTAAGAGTGTTTGCTGACATGACAGGAGGAAGATGATTTGTGTTTTTCTATTCTCTAAATGGCCTTCACGCGTTTCCCTGTCGTCTATAAAGTTATCCTTTCTGTTCATGAGAACGTCCTTCCTTTTCTTGTTTATTCCTGAAAAACTCAAAAGAGCTGTACACATGCCACTTCCTGTTTGTCTGGAGCACGTGACAGTTGAAATGTCAGGCAATGAGGTCAGAGGTCATCAGAGCAGCTGAACAGGCTGGTCAGGGTCACTGCTGGATGTCAAAAAGAGAACCAACATGGAGCTTTTGTGGCAATATGCATCTCAGATAAGGCAGTGAAATAACCTTTACCCTCACCACCACACTGTGAATGAGTTTGTGAAATAGTGTGCAGCAAGAGAGTCCCAAGTTTGATCCATGGTTTGGGATTTTTTCAGTGGACTTCACATCTTCTCCCTGTTCATATACTTTGCATTAGTTCAGATGGATGGTTAGTTCTGGGTCTCTGTGTCTATGGGTCTGTCTGGGGCTTAGCCTTTTATTTAGTTGAACAGTACTTTTTTTTTTTTTTGAGCATTATAAAGGTTTTTGAAATTTTGAAGTGTTTTAATCTTCCGTTTTACATGTGAAGACTCTACTCCTATGTACACATAGTGTGCATCTTGTGACTTGTGAGTTTGGGTCTGATGTTTGGTCAGATCATAGAGATACTACATTTTTTTACAGCTCGCGTCAATGCCACTCCCCCTAGGCCTGTCATAATAATTACTATATCGAGTTATCGTTCAGTACACATTGACAGATAGAACTATACGTTTGGGGGGGGGTCCACATTTATCACAGAGACTTTTTCTGTGCACTATAGGGCTGTAGAAAGTTGACCTAAAATTACACAAACTAATTACTTAAGTACTGCCTTCTGCTATTTATTTATTTATTGCATCTTAAAATTCTTGTACATTTAGAGTAATTTTTACTGCTTTATGGTTTTGTTTGAATATTGCCTATATTTTTACAGCAATATATCGCTCTTCATGCTAACCAAGGCATTACTCTGTCTAAAACTAACTTGGACTTTAATCTGAGTTTTACTTTAACTCAGTCTGACCAAAAACAGGTGCCTTAGTTGGAACTACAACAGGTGAATTGATATGGGCTGTTAAACAAGTCTGCCAGACAAATAACAATGACCAGCTAGCTTGGATTAGTCAATAGTTTTTCACTTAGTCACTCTCACCTTGTTGTTGAAAATCAAACTCCTAAACAGGACCATGAACACTCGTATTGATCACAGGCTCCTGAAAATGTGCTGTCTAAATCCAGTTCTTGAGTTTTCAGAGTTTATCTTTAAACATTTTTGGCTAATGTGTGCATTGTGTCACTATAACTGCTGAACATTCCGCCACAGACGTACATGAAGAATACCCACAGCGTGATGAGACAGCAAAGTAACAACTAGGATTGATTGACCAGCCATCCTGAATTCATTGATCTGTTTGACTTTTAGAATACTTAGTTATAGGCCTGTCACGATAACAAATTTTGAAGTGTGATATATTTATAGACAATAAATGATAATACTGAAACCAAACCATAAAGCAGAATTACCTCCAAAAAGTATTCTTAATGTACAATATTGTTAAAAAACACAAGCTGCAATAAATAAATAACAGAATACAACACTTAAGTAATTAGTTTGAATCTATAATTAGCCATAAAAGTTCATAATTCAACCCTGTATGGAAAAAGAACCAACATTTTCCCACTAGTACAAAATAAAAAGTCTTCATGATAAATATTGACCCCCAAAAAGTATTGTTCCATCTGTCATGTATTGAACTATCAGTCACTAGGGATGTAACAATAACCGAAATATCGTGATCTCGTATTGTCAAAAGTCTCACATAGGGGTGGGCGATATCTCGTTATTTTTAATATATCGAGATTTTTTAAAAACTCGATATGAATTCTGACATATCGTATATATCGATATAATGCTTATATTCAATTTTGATTTCGCCGCTTTGCTTGTTTGTCTTCTCTGTCGTCGCCCGCGCGCCGCCGCTTCCCTGATTTTGTTCGCTCGTGTCTCATTCACTCGTCACTATCGCCGTGAACGTCGAAAGTTGGTGCCAGTGAAAAGCTTCTAGCGCCACGAAACTTTTCCACCATTTGCAGACAAAACCATCAGCAGCACATCCTCATATTCCACCGAGTCATGTCCTTTAGTCCAAAAGAAGTTGAACCGCAAGAGCGGCACGTGGAGTGCGCTGTTTATGCAAATTAGCCATGCGCTTTTTAAGTTTCGTTTCTGTAAAACGTAAAGAAGTCTGCGCAAAGCTGCAAAAAAAAAAAATAATAATAATAATAACATAAAATAATTCTTTTATATTTCTTTTATTTGACAGTTAAATTATTATTTATGTAATTAGGGTTTTTTGTAATCTTAAATGTTCCTATATGAACTGCCTACCTCTTACACTTTAATTTTTTTAAAAAGGACCTTGTGGAATTTGGCATATTTGTTTTTGCAGTTTTCCGTTTTAGGGGGTTATTTTTTCCTGTACAGATATCGAGATATATATCGTATATCGAGATATAGCAAAATATATCGAGATATATTTTTTGATCCATATCGCCCAGCCCTAGTCTCACAGTAATATCATGGGCCACCACAATATATCGAAGGACAAGTTTCTTTGCTTAAATTAATTGTTACGGTGCAACATTTGCTAAAAAAAAAAAATAGAGGATACTACATATACCACGATCCTTTGCTCCTTGCAGTGTAGACTACGTGAAGAAATAACTATTATTATTGAGCACTTCTGAATCTTAGTTCTTTGGATTATGACAGAACCAAAGTATTGTCAAGAAAATGTAAAAGGTTAAAGTCACATATTCATAATTCTGTTATACTGCAGCAAATATCGTACCATAAGATGTATATTGTGAAAATATCATACAGAGAGATTTGGATACCGTTACATCCCAATAAGTCGCTACCGTATTTATCATGACAGGCTTACTTGTTCCCTTACCTGTGCCTGTTCTCACTGTGTTTGTGTGTTTGTTCAGGCGATGGTGGAGCAGGAGTGCGTCGGAGCCATTGTCTGTAAACTGGACATGCATAAAAAGATGTTTCGCCGTGGCTACATCGCTATGCTAGCTGTGGACTCCAAACACAGAAGGAAAAGCATTGGTGAGTTTAGTCTTCTACTAATGCATCCATATTTAATTCTTTCTAACATGGCTTAAAGCTCACAAGAATCCATTTAGCGTCCTATAGGCCCCTTAATGTAACAAGCATTGATTATCTGCAGTGTCCAATATCAGCTACATATCAGTGTACATTATATTTTATATAGTTAAGTCTTCTAATGATGCACTATGTAACTTTTCTGGTTGAGGGTCCACACCTGCTCATCTTCACAGAGATAAATTTTTTTGCCCTGGAATACTCCGTAGTATGGCATTAAATACATCTATCTTGTGTTTATTACATTACAGGTGTTATAATAGTTCAAAAGTACATTAAAAAGCATGCATTCTTACTGTGAGCCGGGTCGCCACTCCATAGATATGAGCTGTAACTTGGCCTAAAGCTCAATAGATACATCCAGTGCCATATGAAACATTCTAGCCTCTATGGAGACAAGCATTTGATGTACTCCCCAATAATGTTATAAATGTCATTAGATTTTAAAACTTTCTGTTCCTGAAATCTACACTTTCGTGAAGCAGTGTGGAGCGACTGCTGTTGTGATTTTGGTGTAGACAAAATAAATTAAATAGATTTTAATATTTTAGGACTCAAATTGATTTAGTTTGTTTACCTTGTAGATTCTCAGATAGTACTGTGTTATTTTACCTTTTATGAACTCCATATTTGTACTTGTACTTTACTGAAAATGGTCTCTCTTCTTCCAGGTACTAATTTGGTAAAAAAGGCGATCTATGCGATGGTGGAGGGTGACTGTGATGAGGTAAGGCCAGTGTTTATGAAGATTTAAAGAAACAGATCTGTCCTTCATTGTGTTTGGCCTTGGTTTGAATTACAACTGTAGTAAACTGATCTTTATCAAACATCCCTGAACACTTAATTGTGGAGAGACAAGATGAACCAAAAGTATTTTATTTAAATAGTCCTTGATTTCAAACTAAAATTTAGCACCATGTCTCTGTGTAATAATAAGATATTATTATAACTCCTGATAAAAGGTAGTCCAGTTGGATAATAACTTTGCAATTTAGATCTTTGTTCTTGGACTCAAAGGCAGAAAGAGCTGGACAACATCCAGACCATTGACCCTTCAGTTAGTGGGTGAAACTTAAGCCACTGCCAATTATAATTCTGGTTTAATTTATTTCTTCTTGTACTTATGATTTATATATTTTTATTAGAAATCGACTCATATGCGTTTTCCCATAACCAGTGCGGTTCACGAGTCGATATGTAGGGTCATTTTGGAAATTTGCCTTGAATAATGTAATTTGAATTGGATACAAACTCACCCACAACCTTGCTTTTGCAGTACCCTCTTTGGACTTAAGTGTTCTATACTTTATGTATATATTCTTAATGCCGATAGCCGATATGCTTAAAAGTGCAAATATCAGTCTAATATATCCGTCTAACTTTATTTTTTACACATAACTTCTCCCATTCCCTTCTCCCTTTCCTCTTATTTAAACTAAAGTGTGGTGCTGCTGATACATCCTGTGTGCCTCAGCAAACCTCGCAGCTATTTCTGTCATATTGCACCAGTGTTTGTGCTGTGTCTGTGGAAGTCCCAAAATGTGGAAACAAATGAAAATGACTGACTGCCAGGCTGAGATCTACACAAGTAAATATTTTATCACAATATCGAAATCTCATTATTATGTTATGTAGAAGACTAATGGAGAATGTGTTGCTAGTATGAAGAATAACTTTTATTAAACAATACGGTTTATAATCACAGACCTCCCCACAATATTGCATTAAAGACACAGCATGTAACTTTTTATCCTGAAAGTAGACTAATATGAAAGCATGAGAGGTTAGGGTTAAATCAACTGGATGTTCTGCTTTCTGTTTGGATAATCATCTTGAAAACCAGAACACCAAATTAAAACATAACAGCTTGTCCATCATGTCCAATGTTTTTGTAATTAAGAATCAATCAGCATTACAATTGTTGTCAGTAAAAGCTATATTTGACTTGAACATGTTTACTTCGTGTCTGGGGACACAGATGGGTCATGTTTATGCAGTTTATGCAAAATAGACTTTTTGGAGCTTTCTGTCATGTTGTAATATTGTTCCCTCACCAAAAACATGCCTGAGGTTTTCATCATGTCATCCATGCATGTTTGAATAATTTAGTGATCTCTTTTGAGCCCTATTCAAACCCTCTTTACAGTAAGCAGTAAGCAGTGTGATCCTATCTAAAGCTCAGCCCACAAATCCTACGTCACCCATGCTCCCGCACAACAATTTTCCATAAATACACAAAAGCAAGATATAAAACAGTTCACTACAACTTCACAAACCTGATGCAATGTGCGGTGGTTTCATTAGTGGGATCCACGCTGATTGCATTGTGGTAACACTCTGAAGGGGGAGTGACGCTCTGAAGGGGGAGTGACGCTCTGAAGGGGGAGTGATGCTCTGAAGGGAGAGACTCAAAAATGAAACGAACTCATTAAACATGTTAATACAGTATGCAGTTTTTGGCAAATAAAGCATTTTCTGTAAGTAGGTAATATGGTGATATAAATGCTGTTAATACTCTGTAGAAACGTAATACCCTCATTTGAAAGTCAAAATCTTGCACATAGTTTCTTTAAAGGGCCTGTATTATTTTATTTTCTGATCTACGTTCTAATGTTGTTTCCTCATCAAAAATATATCTGGAGTTGTGTTTTGCTTTATTCACACAGGTTTTAACCCATAAACCCTGCATTTAGGCTGAGTTCTGTCAAACTAAACACACTTTGTGATGTCAGGTGGTATAGGAGGTGCTCCATTTTGTTTTTAAACTCCATACACTTTTATTAGAATCATTTGAATGATTTCAGCCCCAGAATTGCCAATCTCTACTTCACAAATGGTAAAATGTAGCTGTTAACATGAAAACTACCACTTCATGACATCACAAAGTGGAACAGAGCATAAACCAGGATTACTCAAATGTGTGAATGAACCAAAACACAACTCTATGCATGTTTTTGAAGAGAGAACAACATTCTATTATGGCTTAAAGCTCTCGAGAGTCAATTTTGTGTAATATATGACCTTTAATTGAAATTTCTGTTTTTCCAGGTCGTATTGGAGACAGAAATAACCAACAAATCGGCGCTGAAGCTGTATGAGAACTTGGGCTTTGTCAGAGATAAGCGGCTCTTCAGATATTACCTGAATGGAGTGGATGCGCTCCGGCTCAAATTGTGGCTACGCTAAAGAGACTCTAGAAGCTACATACTCCCTTCAGATACTTTCAACTAAACTTACCATCAACGCCTGTGTACCAGATACGCACATAGGCTTGCATTGACACGCCCTGTACCTTCCTCGGACTCCAAACCAGTGTTCTTGAAGCAAAAATGGGACTGGTCTTTACTCAGAGCACGCAGTTCAAAAACGTTGGACTTACCAACATGGCCGCTTTTTTGACCTGGAAGCGAGACATGGAACCGGAGAGGGCATCTACAACACCAAAACATGCATCAAAACAACACGGGACTAAAAAAAAACAGCATTCAAAGTTTCTAAGGTGGAAGAGTGGGCAGTTCTAAACCGAAACGCCAGATGGAAAAAAAACATTTGTGGAGTTTATTTTTCTTTTTTTTTTAACCTTGTAAAAGTTTGGCGGAGATTTGGAGAAGCGTTGCTATGACTGCACGTTGATATGGCCTGGTTTGTTCTGTGTGAGTACTTGGTTGGGTTCACTGTGGGTAAAGACAGGTGTTTGTGTGATTTCGTCTTAACCCCATTGTGATTTTTTTTTTTTTTTTTTTTTTAAGTTTTTCATCTCGTCTCCAGCCTCCTGACCTGGGGACTTATGCATGCGTTTATTTTAACACAAGGGTTTGGAGTGTGTGCAACTTCTGATATTTTACCCTCCCCCTTTATCGAATTCAGTTTAAAGGGGACATATTATGCTAAATTAAACATTTTTGGAGTTTTTAACCTTGCCATAATGCTGTTGCCTCAAATAAACAAGGCTGGAGTAGTCTTTTGTTTGATTCACACATGTTAAAGGTACATGGCGTAACTTTTCTGGCCACTTCCTCGTCTCAATGGAGATCTTATTGCGTCGTCAGGAATGTTCTGCAGTATGGCGTAAGCATTTATTTTATTACAAGTTTATTTTATTGCCTTCCAAATCATATGTTGTTATTGTGAGAAGTGTCACATTTCTACAGATCTGACCTAGAACTTGGTCTGTTTAATGCCATACTGCGGAACATTCTCAACAAAGCAATAACAGAAAGCAGATGGCAGAAGTTCTCCATTCCAAAAGTTACACATTGCACCTTTAACAAAAACTTGTTTGGTGAGATTTTCTCCCAAACAGATCACATTGTTTCAACTCTCTACGTGGGCAGTTGAAACCAAGAATAGCTCCTCCATGTTTTTAAAGTTCATACACCCTCACACTTCAACTGTATCCACTACATCGCATCTATCTGTTAGCATCACTGACAATAGCCATGCTGCTAATCTGTCTGTTCAAAATGTCTCACTTCCCACTGTTGCCATCAGACGGCGCCAGACAGTTAACTCAAACAAATGCAAAGAAAGAATGCTGTAATGGAACCTGGTTTCAATACGTTATTCTAAGTTATAATAAAAAGCTACAATCACGCATAATATGTCCCCTTTTGTATTTTTCACTAATTTAAAACAAGATGCACTGTGTAACATTTCTACTGCTTGTCTCCATGGAAATTGTATTGCTTTGTCTAGAATGTTCCACAGTATAGCTTAAAGCTGTATTTATTACGAGGGAGACAAGCAGGATACAACACAACGCTACATTACAATTCAGATCTGTGGAACCCTATTCACAGAACAAATTGTTGTATTTTGAGCAATAGAAACACCCGTAATGAATAAATGCTAGATGGATATGTTTAAAGTCATACCATGGAACATCTCAGGTCAAGCAATAACACCTCCGTAGCGATAAGCAAGTCCCTCCACCAGAAAAGTTGCACAGTGCACCTTTTAAAATCTAAAAAGTGTAGGTTTCATCCCTGTATTTTCACAGGAGTTTCCCATTCTTCCCATATTGCACTGCCACCTGCTGCTAAATGATCTATAATGAGAAAGACCGTTGCCAAAGTTGGTGTGGTCGTGTCCGCCATTTTGAGTTTAACTCTCAGTAAAAGTGCCACTCCATCAGCACAGACTCTTCATGCTGGATACCTGATAAAATTAACTATAACACTGCAAAAACTGAACTTTGAGTTTAAATTACTTTTATTCAGAATTTTGTCTTATTTTGAGTAGATATATTTACTAACAAGACTTAGATTGCTGGGCTTGTTGCATGGCTTTTTTCATAAGTTTCAAGATCAGTAAGAAAAGAGATCTTGTTTTATTTTAAAGGGTACATATTACGTATTTATTTATTACATATTAAATCTATATCTATATAATGTTGCTTCCTCATCAAAAACATGAACAAAATACGGAAATCCTGTATATTTAGGCTGAATTCTTCTTTCAGACTGAAAACATTCTGTTCCACCTTGTGTTAGACAGGAAGTGAGATTTTAAACTCCATACATCTTCACTTGAATCATTTGGATTATTTCTGTCCTATGACAAAAGCAAAAAGCTGTTATGTTGAAAACTACAGCTTGATGACATCACAAGTTGGAACAGAGCATTTTGAGCTTTGGAGATGTAGACAGACTCATAATAAAGGGTGTGAATGAATCAAAACACAACTTTACATATGTTTTTGATGAGGTAACAACATTATAGTGTCTTAAAGCTCACAAGAGTCAGTTTTGCGTAATATATAAGACCTTTAAATGATTGGCTTCATGTAGGTGCAAAAACCAAATTCTTCTTAAACAGTCCCAACTATTTAAATTTGACATTCTGGATTCTAGTAATTTAAATAATAGGTTGCGTTCACACTAAAATTGTGTTAGGTCATAAGTTCAGATGGAGATTCACTATAAGAAATATGATCGCAAAGGTTTTCCTATAAATCTGCCCAGTGGCCCAGTGATCACAGAGATATGAACCATAAACCAGGTCAACAAATCTGTAATCTGACACTTAAACGGCAACTTCCACCATAGGATTCTGACCTGTCCTCCAGATCTAAACATGAACGCAACTTATTCAGATTTTGCAGTGTACCTTTGGCAATTATAATTTTTTCACTTCTATTTTTCTGAATTTGATGTGTCACAGCTGAACCATCAATGCACTTCAACAATCTTGCCAACATTTTGAGAACAGATGCTCCCAGAGATACACTAACTATCACAAGTTACTACGTTCTCTCACTCTGCAAAAAAGATATCTACATTATCTTAAAGAGCCTATATTACGCTACTTTTTTAAAAGTTGTTATAATGTTGTTTCTTCATCAAAAACATATTTGCAGTTGTGTTTTGTTTCATTTTCATTTTTAGACTTAGTTCTTCTCTCAAACAGAAAACAATTTGTCATGTGGTAATACAGGAAGTGCTCCACTGTGTTTTTAAACTCCAAACACCTTCACTAGAATCATTTGAATAATTTCAGATATGGAATTGCTCTTCTCTGCTGAACAAAAGTTAAAAGGTAGCTGTTACTTGAAAAATACTGCATAATGATTTTGAACTGTGAAGGTTTAGAAAGACAACTATGCAGGATTACGCAAATGAAACAAAACACAACTCCAGGTATGTTTTTGATAAGTTAACAATGTCCTAGCATGGCTAAAAGCTCACAAGAGTCAGTTTTGCGTAATATAGGAGCTTTAACTTACTTGCATTCAGAATATAGATTTTTGCATAATTTTTAGATTATTTGACTTGTTGTCTTTAAAATTTATTTTGCTATGGCTTTAAAATAGTATAGCGCCCTTCCAGATATCCAGCTTTACATTACATTCACTTGATGATAGGCTATGGATGTAGTCACAACTGCCCTGGGACGCACTGACAGCAATGTGGCTTCCAATCTGTGCCAACAAAAGCCCCTGTGATCTAACTTCAGTGGTGGGTGAGGAGTCATGCCTAAGAGCACAATGGTAATTTGCATTGGTCAGCTCTGACATCAATCCATAAGCCATTACTGTTCTATTTTAAAGGTTCTATATTACATAAAATTGACTATTGTGAACTTGAAATCATGTTATAATGCTGTCACCTCCTCAAATACCTGGAGTTGTGTTTTGTTTCATTCACACATGTTTACATCTCTAAACCTCAAAATGCTGTGTTCCACCTTATGATGTCATGAAGCAGTAGTTTTAAAGTTAACCTACGAGATGGCCAATTGCAGGTCTGAAATGATCTAAATGATTCCAGAGACGGTGTTTAAAAACACAAGAACTCAGCCTAAATATGCATAATTTGTGTGTTAAACATGCGTGAGTGAACCAAAACACATCTCCAGGTCGGTTTGTGATGAGGAAACACAACATAGATCAGAAAATGCATAAAATAGCATAATACAGGACCTTTAAGTTAATATTAATAATTTCATATTCTGAATTCAAGTAATTATAACTCATGTAGATGTCATTTTTTGCAATGCTTAAATGAACAAAGGACAGATGCACTTATAGGATTGCAGTTTGTGTGTGAGTGAATGTGTGTGGACCTTTTATTTTAGACCATGTGTTTCTATTTTTACTTTACATCATTTCGACTCCAACCAGAAAATGTAGGTGCCCTCCACTAATATTGGTGCCCGTGATAACATGCAATTCATTTCAGACTATTTTAATTTTTGCAATGTGAAAAATTCCTGTTTTTTAGTATCTATTTGTACCAAAAACTCAAAATCTCTCCTATATTTAACTGTGTGACTTTCTAGGTTTGCCAACATCACTATTACAGTTCCATTTATGATCATGTTTTTGAGTTAACCGAGAACAATGTGTAACTTTTCTTCTAGAGAGTCTGACCTTGCTTGTCTCCATGGAGATGATTATTATACCTTTGCCTGGAGTGTTCCACAATATGGCATTAAACCTACTGTATATATATTGCATTTATTCAGTCAAATCAAGTTTTCCAAAATACCTTGAAAATCTAGATCTGAACTTGTAGCCTGGTGTAACTTGGCTTGTCTCCATGGAGATAGAAGTTTGGCCATTTTGTGGAACATTCCAGGCAAAGCGATAATATCTCCATGGAGACACCATCAGAAAACTTTTTAATTTAAACTTTTTAATGTGAAAATTTGGGATAATTCTAGTTTTTTGGCATCTAGTTCTACCAAAAACACAAAATTCTGGGTTTGCTCACTTTTAGAATTGCATTTATGATCATATATTTGAGTAAATTGTGCAATAATATCTCCATGGAGACACCAGAAAAGTTACATAATGCTCTCGTTGACCGTCTTTGCAAATATTTGTAAGGGTGCTAATATGAATGGTTGGGCACTGTATGGATGTATGGGCATGCACACACCGCAGTAGACTACAATATATGGGTGGAATTTGAGACAAGGAAAGAGCTAATTTTCTGTGAATTGAGCTTGATCAAATGCTATTTATTTTTATGCAACTGGACAAATACACCATATTGAGTGAGAATATTGTGGAGAGTTATTTCAACAGTTCAATTCAGGGCTGATTTGCTTATAAATGAAGCACAGATGGTCTCATTTGGATGTATTTTCTTACTTCATTGGCAGGATGTGCTTTGAAATTATGAAGAAATGCATTGAAACTTGGCAGAGATATTTTCAAACTAGTCAAATATTCTTGGTCTGATTCTAAATAATTCAAAACTCAGATCCAATATATTTTTTGCAGAGTTTGAGTTTTTAAAGCAAGAAAATGGGTAAGTGTAAGAATGTGAAAGTGAGTTAAGAGCTAGCAATGGTATAGTATGGATCAGAAGTGCTTAAACCCTGGTCTAGTCCTGGGTTAGACCTGGTTTAGTACTGGTCTGGTCTTTATTCAGTTCCTGGTCTGCAGTGAACAATATGTCTCAGAGATACTTAGGACCTGGTTTAGTCTCAGTCTAAAGTGGTTTTGTAGCTCTCAGAGGTGCTTTTGACCAAGGTTAGAGCTGGTTTAGGCCTGGTTTAGACCTAGTTTAGACCCGATTTAGTCTGGTTAGACCTGGACTAACCCAGGCCCGGTTTAGTGCTGGTTTAAGTCCTGGTTTAATACAGTTGTGCGGGGTGTTCCCTGTCCGCAGTCAGTAATATTTCTCAGAGGTGCTGTAGACCTGGTTTAGACCTGGTTTAGACCTGTCTTAGACCTGTCTTTAGACCTAGATTAGACCTAGTTTAGACCTAGTTTAGACCTGGTTTAGTTCCAAGTTAGACCTGGACTAACCCAGGCCCAGTTTAATGCTGTTTTAAGTCCTGGTTTAATACAGTTGTTGTGGGGTGTTCCCTGTCCGCAGTCAGTAACATTTCTCAGAGGTGCTGTAAACCTGGATTAGACCAAGGTTAGACCTGATTTAGACCTGGTTTAGACTTGTTTTAGTCCTGGATTAGACCTGGTTTAGCCTTGTTAGTTCTTGTGGTGTTCCCAGTCTGCAGTGGAGTGCAGTGATGTATCTATCAAAGCTGGTTTAGACCTGATTTAGACCTGGGTTACACCTGGTTTAGACCTGGGTTACACCTGGTTTTGTGGAGTAATGTGGTCCAAGAAAACAACAGTTGTGTATCCATGATGTTAGGTGTTGAATGTAGGAAAAGACAATGGGACTTGCAATTCAGCAAAGTGATCAAAGTAGCAAACAACATTACAACTATCACTGATAATTTCTCAGAGTAACCCTTTATTTTGTATTCATTTATTTTACAGGTATAATACAATACAAAATCAAAATTAATCACAAAATATTAATGAACTGAACTGTTGAAATAAGTTATATCTTTCCACAGTGTTCTAATGTTATAGTTTTAAATGCAGTACTCTCTTTTAAATATCGGTATCCTTGGTAACGCTTAAGACCTTTTAACTCGCGTTCTCCTCCAGTAATTTTTTGCTCCCATTTCTAACTAAGATCATTAAAAATTAACAAAATATAAGAATTTAATTTCTAAGTAATTGCCAATATCAGTGCAGGGTGCTGGAGCTATAAGATACTGCCTTTTGGTGTAGTAATCCATTTAAAGGTGCATTGTGTAACTTTTCTGGCAGAGGGTCTGTCTCTCTGGAGATGTCTTTATCTTGGCTTTGTCTGGAATGCTTCACAGTATGATATTAAACATTTCTACGTTCATGGAGACCAAACCAGACCAAGTTAGAGGTCAGATACGTGGAGAGGAGATCCCGCTCAGTAAGAATATCTGTTTGGATTTTTTTAGGTATTTTTGAGCTTTAAAACCACCTGTAATTGAATAAATGTAAGGTAGAGCTGTTTAAAGTCATACTGTGGAACATTCCAGGCAGAGCAATGACATATTAATAGAAACCAACTGGTGACGGCCCTCCAACCAAAACATTACACAATGCAACTTTAAACAAAAATGTCTAAAAGTTAAGATTTCTGGACATTAAAATGACGATGCATGTTACATTTGACAGAATAGAGGGCTGAAGATGTTTACAAAACCCCCACATTCTCAAATTGTCTGTGCATTTTTTGGACAACAATCTGCCCCTACGTGAAATCCCATGTTATTTCTTTAGTCCTTCGAATGTTGTTGATACCATGTTTTTGTTAATCATTGTTTGGGATGGGGTATTTGTTTGATTGGTTTTTATACATTTCTGTGCTACTTAAACCCATTCAGAAAGAGGACATACAAAAGACTGACAAGACCCGTAAATATTTGAATCATACCAGATTTTTTTATTTTATTTTTTTGGTTTTACTTTGGTCGGCCATCTTCAATTTTTATTTTACCCATACACTGTAAAAAATATATCTCGGTTTGTTAAAATTTCACTTAGTTAGGTATATTTATATATTTATTCAATTGACGTTGGTTAACAGCCCTGATTTTATATCTAATTCTGAACCAGGACAGCAAAATGACTGCGTAAGATTGTCAGTTTCATCTCTAATTGGATTCAACTCTTTGTTTCCTACAGCTGTTGCTTAGCAACAATATGGTGCTCCTCCAACAATAATACCTTTTTAAAATGTCCAGAAAATACAGTATCTTGAATTGTTTTTACATTACAGCCAACTCTATTAAGTAAAAAGTTTTTCCTGAACTAAAAAACTCAAGTCAAATAATAAATAAATGCATTTAAACTATGCAAAACTACTCAAATCCAGATTAATATTTTGAATTAATGGCGTACTGTTTTGATGTAAACTATAGTAACTTGCCATTCTAGGTGCTCTATTAAAATAAATGAACAAAGGGCTCTATGTAAACTACCAATAACTTGTGATCAACGCTGCTAAAACCAACACTGTAAAATATAAAGATCTTCATTTGAGTAGTTTTTATTAGTTTAGATTTATGGACCTAAATTGTGAAATGAAATTGTAAATTGCACTAAGCTATTTTAACATCCCAAACCAGGAAAAATAAGAAATAAAAACTGAACTAAATTGCTCTTATTTAACCTAAAAACATCCATCCCACTACCTGGCATATAAAGATAACAGTTATAAAATTATAATATCGAGGCCTGTCAGAAATACTGTCAATGCAGCTTTATTAAATCGGTAACATTAAAAAATGTATGCCAACTCAAATTAATCAATATTGTGAATTCAAATCTTTTAACTTATCCAGATGTTATTTTTTACAGTGTATACCATCCATCCCTGTGGTAAAGGAGTGAGCTATAGTTTTATTTTTATTTTTTCACATGTATAATTTTTGTTCCTCCAAGAAATTCCCTATATCTTGCCATGGTCCCATTTTATGAATTTTGATTTGGAATTGTCCCATAGTTTTTATTTAATGTGGAAAAAGAACACAGAAATAAATTATTTGATTTTTTTTAATGCTGTAACTTGTGGTCCTTTGTTTTTATTCAAACATTTCACACTGTCTCAGAGTGAATAAGGACAGAAAAAGTGTTTATTGAATCACATTTTATCTACAAAGAAAGACATTAGAAAATATTGCAATAGTGTGCAAACTCCTCCATAAAATCTTGGTCCAGGGGTCTCATTTATAAAACGTTACGTGAAATTCTTTCTTAAAGTGAAACATATAGGTCCCATATTACTCTAAACTGACTCTTGTGAGGTTTAAGACATGTTATAATCTTGTTTCGTTTCATTCACACGTTTGAGTAATCCTTCATCAAAGCTCAAAATGCTCTGTTCCACCTTATGATGTCATGAAGTGGTAGTTTTCAGGTTAAAAGCTACCCTTTACCTTTATAAATGAGAGCCCTGGTTGAGTCTGGGTTAGTCCATATTCTGGTTAGAAGTTTGAAAACCACTGCACTATTTCACTGACACTTTTTGAACAGTTTTATTGCGTTAGCTGAGGCCGGTGAGCCCACATTACACATAAAGGATTGGACAAAGTTTGTTCATGATACGAGCCCAATGTGAGTTCAGTCTCTCAAATCTAACCCAGATAAAACTCAAAGACTGTGAGAAAATAAAATTGAGACATTTCTTTCCAGGACTGTTCAAATACCACCAAAGGGTCAACTGTGCACAGGTATGTGCGTTCTACTCACCTTCAATTTAAAAATGCTCTGTGTAACTTTTACACCACTGGCTTGTCTTCAAGGAGAAGTTATTGCTTTGTCTAAAATGTCCCACAATATGGCATTAAACTTAATCTTTTATTTTAATTGATTTATTGTGTTTTTATTCCTAAAAATAATGTGGAAAAACATGCATTCTTTCTGTGACATACCTTGGTTTGTCAATGTCACATACTTGTCTCCATGGTGATACTGTGTTTAAAGCCATACTGTAACATCTCCAGACAAGCAGCTTGCAGGCTATCTACCAGAAAAGTTACATATTGCACCTTTAACTGGTGGTTTGGAGATTTCTTTTTTAAATCACATCTTTCCAATACATTTACACTGGACTCTGACCCAAGAACAACAACAGTGAACATAAGACTTTTAGTCAGTGATATTTTAGATCAAATTTTAGATCTTATTTTTAAAACATTTTAGACAAATACAAACCCTGTTTTAACATGTCTGACCCAGAGTCAGCACATTCACTGTACATCATCTGTATTTACAACACTGCACTGGTCTCACTGGGACCCACGTTATAGCAGAAGAACTGGATGATTTCTCCTTATGAATGATGCCTGGACAATTGAGGGATTACACAGACGTCATCATTTTATATTGTACATATTTAACAGACAGACACATCAGAGACATCTTAACAGTTGAACTGATAATGGCGGATCGAACCACCACTGGACAGAGTGCCTTGGCTCTTCACAGCTCTTATATTATTGTTATAATATTCAGAGGTGGGCAGTTATATTTACCTGATGTGTTTAAGAACTGACTTCTCAGAGTACTTTTTTGCTTCAGATACCATACTTTTACTCTTTTTACAATGCAACAGTACTCTTATTCAAGTAAAAGTTCTGGGTGACTTTTCCCACTGTGACTAATGACAAAATTCACTATTTGACCATTTTTAATGATCAGAACATTTGTGTTTCTTGCACTGTTTCTTTAGGTGTTTTTATCCTTTATTTTGGATCCCCATCAGTTATTACCACATTAACTATTCTTCCTGGACAATACTATACTTAACAGGTATGATTTAGGTTTCTCATTATTGTGCTCTATCCTAATATTATATTCAAGTAACAGTACAATTGTTGGATACTCTACCCACCTCTGAACATATTTCACATCCTGCCATACTGTAGGACTGCACAACACAGAGCAATCAAAAACGAAAAAGCAATTTGAGTATGTGCAATTATTAAATCAATTAGCATTATTAATTATTTATTAATTGTTATTTATCTTTTCTTTCTAAATTTGTGCAGCCCTTTGCCTTCATACCACTGTCTCTGTCCCTTCTCCTGTCCACAGCTCCAGACCTCACACAGGGACAGTTCAGCCTGAGTCTCCCCTCTCTGTGGATGTGGTCTTCAGGCCCACTTGGCTCCACCTTAAAAACTCGGCTCCTTCTTAAAAACTCGGCTCCACCTTAAAAACTCAGCTCCACCTTAAAAACCTGGAGCTTGCTCAGAATTCGTCTTCAGAGCTGTCAGCCAGCAGCATGGCCTGGTCCTGTCCACTCACGCCCGGCTCACGAGGCTGCTACAGAGAAATAATCATGAAAAATCAAGGGAAAAACTGTCAATATTAACTGATACTTACTGTTTAAAAAATAAATGTTATATTACTTTTGTTTATGCTGACAGAAAAGATGCTGAACTTTGTGCCAGTTGTCATGTGGAGTAATTACAGAGACATGTTATGCTATTTTATGATCTGTTTTTTCACACATGTTTAACACACAAATCTTTCATTTTTAGGCTGTTTTTCTCTCAAAGTGAAAACACTCTGTTCCACCTTGATGGTGTTATGTGGTAGTACAAGAAGTGCTGCACTGTGTTTTTAAACTCCACACAACTTCATTAGATTCATTTGGATAATTTTGCTAATCTCTACTGAACTAAAGGTTAAAGGTAGCTTTTAACTTGAATGACTTCACTAGGTGGAACAGAGCATTTTGAGCTTTGGAGATAAAAGACAAACTAATAATCTGTAATATATAATATGCTTCGTATGTCTCAGGGACTGCAGAAAATTAGCTCAGAGAGCTATAGTCTGGTACAAAGCATTTCTTTGAAGTTTATTTGATTAATGCTCCTGTGGTACCTGTAAAATTAAAACTAAATAAACTAAACCATATAAAAGATTTCTCAGACATGTGTGAATAAAACAAAGCAAAACTCCAGGCATGTTTTTGAGGAGGTAACAACATTTTAACACTTATCGCTTAACGCTTATAGCTCACAAAAGTCAATTTTTGCTTAATATAGGGCTTTTAATTCTATATCTGGGTAATTCTGACCAATATCCTTGCTCAAGATCTGGAGAAGGGTTCACTGCTCATAAAGATAATACTGAAGTATGGGTCAATTTCAAATAGCAATCTATACAGTATATCTGTCTAAACATAATATTAGGGCTGTTCCTGACCTCTGGCTGTCTGGCCTTCCGTCGCTGGTGTTTGAAGCTGTTGCGTCTCTTGCGGTGTATCGTCCTGATGCTGTAGAGGGCGCCCACGAGCAGCAGAGCACCTGAGATCCCTATTCCGACAGGAGCCAGCATCCCCGAAACATAACCAGCCTGAAACAATATATGTATAGAGTACAGTATATATACAATATAAATACAGTCAATGGTAACAACACACAGGGCCAGGGAGGTTAATGCTAGAATTTATGTAGTACCAAAAGCACATTTAAACACACAGGAAAGAGGGATTAGCTAGATTAAATAAAGAAAAAAATTATATAGATCAGTCCAATGCCTTCATGTGGAACACTGCAAATAAAGCAGTGCAGTTTTCATGGAAACAAGCTTTTAAAGCCAAGCATGTAATTGTTTTGCGTCCTTACTCTGAGTGGGTCTGCATCTCCACAAACCAGCCTGTATGATGACCTTCATCTGGTTGTCATCATGGAAATATTGCTCCTTTTACTATAATATTCCACAGTATGACATAACAATGTATTTATCTTCATGGAGAATTCCAAAGTATGATTTTTAACTTTCCTTTTCCATGAACTCACCACCTCCAGAAAGTTGCACATTGTTGCTTTAAATTAGACATAGTCAAATACAGTAAGTAAATCAATTGGGAATCTGTACTGCTGAAATCTGGATAATCACTCTCTCTGTGGGACAGTAGGGGGCAGTCTTACCTTCTCTCTAATCAGCTCTACCCAGCTTCGCACTAGAAAACAACAACAGAGAATAAGCTTTCCCCATTAACGTTCATTTTTTGCCTTAGTTTCAGTACATCTATGCCGTACATACTTAGTCCTTGGTTGCGTTGGACCCACACAGGGGGAGGAGGGATGAGGCTGTAGGGGGGAGGGGTGGAGGTGTCTGGGGCTTCGCTCATCTCCTCTTCACTCTCCTCCACCGACTCCTCTGAGTTCTCCTCGTCTTCATCCCGATCCTCTGCTCAAATAATAAACAGAATCAATACAGGCTGGGAAACTATATATGACTGTAGAGCTCTAATCAAATGTTTTTGTAAACATTTGTAAATGTGCACTGTGTAACTTTTCTAGGCACCTTCTTGTCTCCATGACGATGTTACTGCTTTGCCAGGAATGTTCTGCAATACAACATTAAAGGTCCTATATTATGCTAAATTGACTTGTGAGCTTTAAGTCATGTTAGAATGCTGTTACCTCCTCAAAAAAATACCTGGAGTTGTGTTTTGTTTCATTCACACATGTTTGACTAACCCTTTTTTATTAGTCTGTCTACACTTCCAAAGCTCAAAATGCACTGTTCCACTTTGTGATGTCATGTAGTGGTAGTTCAACATCTATCTTTTACCTTTTGTTTAGTAGAGACTAGAAATTCAAGAGCTGAAATCATCCAAATCATTCTAGTGAAGGTGTCTGGAGTTTAAAAACACAGTGGAGCACCTCCTGTATTACTGCATGATATCACAAGGTGGAACTGAGTGTTTTCTGCCTGAGAGAAAAACTCAGCCTAAATAAGCAGTGTTTGTGTAATAAACATGTGTGAATGAAACAAAACACAACTTCACAACTGAGGAAACTGACCTAGCGAGTATTTAGTCTTACTGTGAGCCGTGTTCTCACCTCTCCACAGATCAGACCTGTAATTGACCTGATGGTGTCACCTACTTGTCTCCATGTGACAATAGTTAATGCCTTACTGTGGAACATTCAAGGCAAAGCACCTGAAGAGAGGTGAACCAGATCGCAATAAGAATGTATTTTTTCATGGATAATTCCAGGGAAACATTTCATGGAGACAAGCAGGTTTATCACCTGCTTGTC